ACCTGGCAGCTCAAGGGCCTACCATTGCTTCCAAGTTGTTGTGTAACACATTGAGAACTCTAAGAACTCATATGCAAATCCAACTTTAACTAGAATGGGCACAGAATATGTCAACACGATAGGTTATAAACCTCAAGTCGTGTGCTAGTGAAGAACTTCAGGTTTCATTCTTGACTAGTTCTTGAGAATTTCAAGACCTTTAAGACTCCCACTGTCCTCTTGACCTATAAGACTCCCTTGTCAAACGTCCAAGAGATAGTGCGGATTCTAATCAAGACAAACACTTCACACAATTGGCCTTAGTTGGTCTTTGTTTTATCCAAAACATCACAACTTACCAATTTCAAATATACAAGAGTAGGAAACTTTTACTCTTACATTTGACACGTGTTTTAAACCTTCTTAAAGACATGTCACTCAAGTTACAATCTTGGAGTATGACTCTAAACTTGTATTGGAACGAATTATGACTCATCTTCTTGATTTAACCATTTCAACAATTCAAGATCCCTTCTTCTTAGTCATAAGAATGACTAGACTTCCTTAGAGAAATAATTTTTGATATGGTTTCTTAATCATTAAGATGATCACAAAACTGATACTAAAGTACTCTCCCATCTTTTCAGATTTGAGAAACTTTTATCCTTCTGCCTAATTTGATTCTTCTTATTCGCTCTGCCTTACATTGGAACCTTTTCCAATGTCTCAGAGTTACACTTAAGCTTGTAAGTATAATCATATTTACTGAGCTTTAGTAAACTATGACGAATAGCCTTATATCTTTTGTGGTGGACTTAATCAGTGCACATGCCTATGTACTCGATCCCTTAGTCCATTACTTGACTCACACATCCATGTGAATAAGTAATTAGTCTTAATTTTCCAATACTTGAAAGTTCTCATTCATCATGCTATACAACTTGCATGATTCCAAGTCCCGGTCCAATTGAGACTTTGGATGATGAGAATCTTTCCTTTTGGTAAATTTAGACATTACCACAAATGAAAGAATCAATTTCATATTTCCACTCTTGCTATTAATGGAATCATAAGCAACAATTTTTCCTCAAATGCCATTGTAAGGATATTTTAAAATAAATAAAATCAAAAATTTTTCTTTTATTTTAAAACTATGCGGAAAAAACTTATCCTTACAATCCATATGAAAACTTGTTGTTATCTATTCCTAAGCAATATCTCATAACTCCTAAGAAGTAGCTCAAGAATCCGATTTCAAACTACGCGATAGAAATCCATCTATGCGATCAGATTCAGCATATTCTTTCTTTAAGTTCCTTTACTTTTCTTTGATTCTTAAAACATTACCATGTGACCCAGTCACATCATGTAAGGAATCTCAGAATAGAAACTTAACAGAGTTAGATAGTGGACTTTACCTGAAGTAGAGTCAACTTATTGACTTTAACATCCTTAGGTAAATTAGGCAGCTTCGCAACTAATGACCCTTTCTTTGGCAATATAAACATATGGACCTTTGATAATGGTACACGGGACTATACAGACTTAGCTTTTCTCTTTACCATTTGTTTCAACCGAGTTGACTATGGCCGATCCCTTTCCATTGGGAAGAGAATGCTTTTTCTGTATTTCCAGTGTCATTGTCAATGTCCATAAAGTTTCAGGAAGTTGATCTTAACAATAGATAAGATCATTAAGGGTCTTGTCATAGTCTATTTCATAGGTGTCCCAAAGGAACTCACTATGTGACTTAGAAAGTGATTGAACCACCAACTTTCTCAAGACTTTGACACCCAACTCTCCCGGCTTGTCAATATGTGACTACATCTCCAAGATGTGACCACACCAAGACCTTGCCTTGCCAATAGGGCTTCGAGTGACTTTAAACTTTTAAAGAACTTGTGGGGTAGGGAGAATAATTGGAGGAGGAGAAGAAGTATGATATCCATGGGACATCATCTTCATTAGGAAAGCTTGTTTCAAGAGATTTGGGAAGATCATAAATGTCTAATCAGACATGTTATGG